TCAAATATAATAATGTAGTGAGTTAAACAGTCTAGATTCCCTGATCTTTGAAAGGGGAACTGCAATTCAAATGTATAATCACCATGAATATTTAAACTGTCTCATGATATTGTATGGGGTTTTTTTTTTTTTGCATCAATTTGTTTACTAAATTAAATATTTTCTTAATAAATAGGTCTAAATCTCATGAACTATGAAAAAAAAACTAAACATGCAACTACCATAACACCCAGCAATTACACTCTTGGGCATTTATCACAGACAAAAGAAAACTCATTTTTGCAAAAAAACCTGTACAAGAATGTTTATAGCAACTTTATTTGTAATTGTCAAAAACTGGAAACAATCCAGATGTCCTTCAACTAGTGAATGGTTATATAAACTGTGGTATATCCATGTCATTCAGCGATCAGGAATTAAGGAATTAAGTACTGATACAGGCAAACACTTGGATAAACTTCCAGAGAATTGTATTGAGTGAAAAAAAAATAACAATCTAAAAGGTTATACACTGTATAATTCCATTTACATAATATTCTTGAAATGACAAAATTATGGAAATAGGTTAGTGGTTACAAAGGGTTAAGGACAAGGGGATGTGGGGAACAGACAGAGAACAAGAGAGAAGTGGGTGTGTCTAAAAATGGTTAACAGGAAAAATCCTTATGGTGACATAAGAAATTCTTTTGTATCTTTACTGTATCAATATCAATATCTTGTTTGTAACATTGCATTATAGTTTTGGAACTGTGTAAAAGATTAATGGGATCTCTGTATGATTTCTTATATTTGCAAGTGAATCTACAATTATCTCAAAAACTTTTTTTATAAAAAGTAGAATTCCCTCTAGAAATAAGAAATCAAATTTATACCATCCCCCAAATCTGATCTTGCAGTGTTGCTATCTCAGTGAATGCTATCGCCGTCCATCCCAGAACATGCCACAAACTAAGCACGCATCCCTGCATCCCTGGCAATGCTACCCCCTTAAGCTTCCACATATAATCCATCTCCAAGTACTGCTGCTTTTATCTCCCAAATACCTCAGAAACTGGCTCCCTTCTCTCTGTCTTCATCATCACTGACCCAGCCACATCATTCTCGCATTCATTACCTGGAGGCCTGCTCTGACCAAGCACTGTTGTAAGTACTGGGGGATGGGAACAAATGACACAGACAATCCAGCATAAGGGAGTTTACAACTCAGGGGAAGAGACAGATAATAAATAAATACATATTATTATGGAAGATAAAACAAGGTGAGGGGATGAATGTGGAGGATGGAAGGTAGTTTTACATGAGTGAGCTGTGCCTTCAATGAAGTACCATCTGAGCAGAAATCTGTGCAACACGAGGAAGTGAGTCATGTGGGCTCATGGCTTCCAGGAAGAACAGTCCAAGAGAGGAAAAAGCAAGTGCAGAGACCCTGAGGTGGAGGCCCATGTGGCCTGCCCAACGAACTGCAAGGTGGCCAGAGTAACTGTGGAGTGCTCAAATAAAGAGCAGAGCAGAAGGAAGTGACAGTGAAGAGGTACCAGGGCCGGACCGTGTAACCTCTGAAAGTCTTTCTGGAGACTGGATTGTGCTCTATGTGATGGAAGCCACTAGAGGTTTTTAGCCTGGGAGTGAGATAACCTGATTCACCTTTTAAATAGATCATTCTGGCAGCTACGAGTATAGTGGATTCAGGTGGCAGGAAGGGAGGTGCAGGGCCAACACAGGAGTCTTTGCTGTGGGGCGCAGGGGACAAGAGCAAGACTCATTCAAACATATTATCACAAGTACAAAACATTTGGACTCCACTTGCACCTTCTAAAGAATTCATTTGTTAAAACCACTGCATGTGATTTCGCTAGCCTGCTAACCTTGATGGCACCTTTGTATAAATTGGAAAAGGATGCCAGCCCTCTGCATAGCAAATCTGGGTGAGTGGAAATGTGGTCCTCCATGATCCCTGCAAGCTGACTAGCATGCACATGGCTTCCTGAATGGAGGTAACACAGAAAGAGAAACGATAAGGAAAGAAAAATACTTTTTTATTGGAGGCAATGGTTTACTTAGATCAACCTGAATTTTAAATTTTAGATTTCAAGAATATGTCCACATTTGGGTGTAAACAAAACTCCTGAGGTGCACAAGTTGGTTTACCACATTATTCCTGTTACAACCCTTCCAGAAAAGCACAACGTCAGTGATTAGACTTTGGGCACATTTATTAAGCAAGGGACTCTGATGCGATACACACCCTTTGAGCTATGCCCTCTCATGTCTCAATTTAAAACACATACCCAGGGATGACGCTGTTTTTCTTTCTTGTTTTAGCTTTCCTATTTGTGAATTGCTTTGCAGTGAAAATAATTTTTTGAAGTATGTTTTGAGGCAACTAGAGGCCGCAGGGGTCCTACCCTGGGGCATAAGCTTGTCTGTTACCGTGGTCAAGGGAGGCTCAGGTTCTGGTGTAGGGGTAGCATCTGAGGTTCGCCCTGAACTCCCAAGCCCTTGGCCCGAGCTCATGGGGAAGGGACCTGTTCCGGGGCCACTTTAATCCTGAGATGGGGGCCTTGCTAGGGTGCAGGAGGGACACCAACACACGTCAGCACTCCCAGGTCATCCCATCTGACTGTCATCTTTGAGGAAAGAGAAGACATTCATGCATCCAGAGAAGCATACATCTTGCTCAGCCTCACTTCCTTCAGACACCTGCTCTGTGTTCCTGCATGGAGGACCTCAAACTCCAGATGGGCTCACTGGGAACCCAGACCCCATTGCCAGGTGGCTGTGGCATCTCTCTGGACAGCTTTCGACTTGTCATACCTTCTCTTCTGTTTGATCCTGTCAATGCTCGGTCACTCAGGAGGGGACACTCACTCTCGAGCAGAGGGTCCAGTTGCAGGAAAAGGCTCTTCCTTCCTCTCTCTGGTCTTTCATCCAGGCTCAGCCCACACCCACCGTGGGACGGACACCCTGAACTCTCAACTGGGTCCCAGATGCTGTATTTGGTAACTGTGTGGTAGACTCCACCAGTTTCCACAAAATGAATGTATGTCTCTCAAATGACAGTTACAAAGATAGAAAGACACACAACTGTGATTCCTACATCAAAAATCTCAACTTTCAGTGGAAGGAAAGCTCCCCCAGGCACAAGGGCTTTGCGAATTGAGACAGCCCATCCCACTTCCTGAGAGGCCATCACTGGTCGTCTAGACCTGACGACAGCCTTGGACAAGTCCTCCTACTTCCACCTAACAGTCTCCACACAGGATGCTGGCTCATCTCCGCAGAATATACACCTGGGCCTGTGGCCAGGCGACTCCCAAGTCCTCAGGGGCCACGCCGGCCTCTCAGGCACAGACCACGCCTGTGACAGGGCCCCCAGCAAAGCAGGATGGTCCCTGCTCATCTCCTCACCCCGTCCGCACACACTGGCTGCTTGGGTTTTCACACATGCCCTTCCTGAGTCCGGAGTGCTCCTCCTCGGAATGCTCCTCTGTCCTGGTCCACCCTTCTTCAGCGGACCTTTGCCATCACCACCCCGTGCCAGTTGACCTTCTCACAGCAGCACCGTGTATCTGACCTCAGAGGTCCTGACTGCACCAGCCATTCCCCACCTGGTGTTGCACAGTTCAGACCACTTGTGCCCTCCCATCTGACTGTGAGCTCCACCAGGGCAGGACCTGTGTCTTTCTGTCCCTGACTTCCAACAAAGCCGCCTCTCCCATTTCTCTCCCCTGATTCTTCCTAACCCACCTGGTACATGTTGAGGTTTTCAGGGATTCTGTCCTTTGCCGTTCCCACCTGGTCAGCTCAAGGCTTCAAATGCCATCTTTGTACTGATGGCTCCCTAACCTCCCTTGCGTTCCCACCCCATATACCTTATACAACTGTCCCCCAGCAACCTCATCCCGCATATTTCACTCACATCTCAAGTGACGCCCATCCCACACTGAACTCACCCTATACCCTTAACAAGGGCCTCTCCTCATCCCTCCTGAATGTCACCGCATGTGCCTTTGTCCAGGCCCTAGTCACGTCTTGTCTACATTATAGAATAATCTCCAGAAACTTCCCACATCTAGTTTTGCCTCACTTTAAATCTATCCCGCAATACTTCCAACGTGATCATTCTTGTTAAGTTCAACTAAGGACTTCAAGAATTATTCTTTGTGAAAAATTAAAAGATTATGTGTAAATAAAGTTCCCTTTCATCCTGCTCATTCTTGATCTCACTCTAAATGTAACTACCGTTACTAGCTAAGCTGTGTCCCTTTCTCTCTGTACTTGCCATGCATATTATACCTGTAGACAAACGCCCATGTAATTTTCTTTAAACATAAATGGTGCCACATCAAAATAACACTCTAGAACTTGCTTTAGTCCTTAATGGGCTTCGGAGGGAGCTTTGTCCGTTAGTGTCCTCTTTCTGACCATGGTGCCATATGCCAGAGTGGGGACATACTACAGCTTCTTCAGCTGCGGCTTTACTGAAGGACGCTTACACTTTCTGATTCAGGCCAATTTTTCTAAAATTGCAAGGATGAGATAATTCTTCATTTTAAAATCCTTTAACTATTTGCAGTTCCCATCTCTAAGAACTGCATCAAAGCACTTTATAACGTGGCCTCTACCTAGTTTTCTAAAATCCTTTCCTTTCTCTCTTCTTCTTACCCCATGTACATACCCCGAGCCCCAATAAGAATGAATTATCTGCAGTTCCTTAAATACACCACATTTGCTGAATGACTACATGAAAATGTAGCCCTTTTCTGAAACAAGAGGAAAGAACAAGAGATCCTGAGAGATTCATTTGCGAAGTGATTACCAGAGAAAAAGAGGAAGCTCATGTCTGTGGCCTTAGTGTCTCCCCTTCCATCACTTCCAGAGGACCAAGAACTTGGGAGAAACTTTCTGGACCAACACCCTGCCTCCTGCCACGACGCATCGTGCACTCATTGATCAGACCTGTGCCTGCGGCGATTCCCGCACCTCAGGCCCCCACTCACCCAGCCAGGAGCCTCTGCGACTTCCTTCCTCGACCTTCCAGGGCTCTTCGCCTTGCTGCAGCAGGGAGATCACTTTGGGTTTGAAAAGTGGGAGTCCTGCCCACAGAGGAAAGAAAAGAAAAAACAAGACTTGGTTTTGTTTGGACACAATGAGCTATCCCAGATCTGAGGGGAACACTTGGGGTAACACTAAGAGCCCTTGAGTGGTGAGCAAGCAAGTATAGAACAGTCACAGTGGGAAAAAAACTACGGGGGAGCTTCTAGTGTGCAACAGTGCAGACTGTCTCACTCACGGGCGATTCCACACCTATAAAGGGGAAGAGTTTTCATGTTTATTTATGCAGATCCAACTTGCACAATCATCAGGCAAAACTCAGCTCAAGTTTCTGAGGACCCAGGGCTTTTAGCTGGGGAAGCAGGTACTGAGTTATCCCCACTTCTGAATTCTGTACCTACAGGAAAGCTTCCTTACCCAGTGAGACCAGGTGACCGTAGTTCTCCAGCATCACATCCTGGTACAAGCTCCTCTGAGAAGGACACAGCTTTCTCCACTCGTCCCGCGTAAAGAGCACAGCCACATCCTCGAACGTCACTGACACCTGCAAAGACAAGCCATCCCAGCTCACCCAGTACCACCCATCACAGAGTGAAGAAGGTGGCACTGGGGAGGCAGACGGGCACCATGAAATGCTTCTGATATTTTTCTGGGTTCTGAAGGTTCCAGGTCATTTGTTTAATGAACAATCAATCATTCACAAAATATATATGAGCAGCATGAAGTATAAACCAGCCCCTCTGTTAAGCATTTTAAGAGATGTGTGGAGATATTCAAGGCCATTAGCGGGAGTGTTAATTAGAATAATATTTCTGATGGTGATTTGATAATATTTGTTGACTTAAAAAGACATCCTCTATAGTGAAGTACAGAAAATGGGTTATATATCGTTGTGTAGTTTGTTCCATTTTTGAAAAAAATATATATATGTACATAGAAATTGATACTGAGAGATGCATAAGAAATGACTGATAGTGATTATCTCCAGATAGGGGAGTTACGGGTAATTTTACTTTTTTTATATACATAAAAAATGTACATACAAATACACATGTATATACCCATGAACACACATATATATATACATGTACACACATATATATACATTCACATACATATATGTGTACATATTTTATTCTTTAAAATTTTTACCATGATCATGCTATACTTCATAAAAAAGCATTAAATTATTTGCATATAGAGGAAGAATATAAGAAATGATATTTGCTCTCAAAGAATTTACAATTCAACAGGCAGACAAGGAAAACACATGAAATAATTGGAACAATGAAAGAAAATATGTAGCTGGACAGGATGGTGCACTGCCTCCTAGGTCGACCCTTATTTTAGAGATGAAGAACACAAGGTCCAGGGCACTCGAGACCCCAGGTCACATAATGTATTAGTGGCAGAAGCAGGACAGTAATTAGAGTTTTCTTTTGACTCAGTCCTTGGTATATTCTCTCTCTGGTCGCGAAGGTCCTGTTGTTGAGTTTTATACTCGGGCCTCTGGAGCACTGACGGATGGGCAGCAGGCGAGGTGGGCAAGAATGCCTATGGGATCCACTCACACATGAGGACAGAGAATGTTCTGGGCAAGAGAGCAACTCGGTGCCCAGAGAGGTGGAGGGATTTGCCCAAGGCCCATAAATGGCAATTGAGGATATGGGTTCAAACCCGCCGTCTGGCTCCAAAGCCCCCATTTCCTAAGCACTGTATACACTGCCTCTCCGGTACCGATGGCCCACTGAACCCACCCTGCCGTTTCCTGAGGAGTTTTGTCTCTGTCCCGGGAGTTAAGAGACCGCTCCAGCTGTGCCCCCTCCAACACAGCTGCCCTTCGTTCATGCATCAACTCACCGGATAAGGTTCCTTGCTCGTTCCCACACATAAAGATAAACATGGCAGGTCAAGATCAGTTTTCAAGAGAGTGGTAGAAGCAGGTGATGTGATCCGCAGGATTAAGAGGGAGAAGAAAATAAAAACTGTGGGTGAGAGAAGCCTGGGGAAGGTATCATGAGGATTCTCAGGGGCGGAAAGAAAAAGAAAAGCGATCTGGCCGAGGTTAGTGAGGGAGATGGGCTGAGCAAAGGAGGCAGGGCCAGAAAGGAACTCTGCCAAGAGTGATGTTTGCCTGTTTCGTCCACAAGTGATATGAGATGCATGGCATCTCACCTGTCAAATTAGCAATTAAACAGTGAGTTGAGATTAATGAATAAAAGAGTGTTAGGAAAACGAAGGGAAACATTGGACACCGGCTGCAGTGGAAGAGGCAGGCATGCAAGACAGAGTCCACCACCCACCCTGGGAGACTGACTCTTCAAAGGGAAAGGAACTTGGCTCCAAATCCTGGAGAAGACTGTCTTGGAAACAGAACTTCAGCTAGAGGAAAAACAACAAACAAACAAACCATCTGTCCCTAAGGTCTGAGACACAATGAACTCACCTGAGACCTTGTTTCAGTAGCCATGTCCTCTTTCTGGGCTAGTTCCCCTAAGGATGGGCACAGTTACAGAAGGCAGATCTGAAAGAAAAAGGAGCCCTGAGGGAGACGACCTTTCTTCCTTCCACCCTTTATAATCACCAGCTCTCAGATCCTTCCACCAGCTGAGAATGACGCCCTGTGCTCTCAGAGAGGGACGTCAGGAGGAGCAAGGAGCAGGCAGGACCAGAGAGAAGGGCTGGTCCACCTTGGTCCAGGCCCCAACTCTTCCCCTGGCTCAGAGAAAAAGGACTTAGGCCTCCTGCAGCAGCAGCAGCAGCAGCAGCAGCAGCAGCAGCAGCGACTCACTGAGCCAGGCACCGCTCACACCATTTAGTCCCACAGCACTGCTGGCATCGTCAGCACCCCCAGTTTATAGATCAGGAAACTGAGGGCAGAGTGGAAGCAACTTGCTCCCACAGCCAATGAGGGTACACCAGGTTCCTGCACGGCGCGCCCGGGTCATCCACTATAACCCCACTGAGTGCACGTGACAACTCTTCACCGCAATTTTTTCCCACTCGCTTCCTCCCTATCCTGTCAAGGAATCATTTCCAGATATTAGAGAAAACTATTTCGGAAAGGGGAAACATCAGCTCTTCCGTGGCAGTAAGGGGCTGCTGTCTGAGGGATGGGCACAGACACCAAAGACCAGGGTGCCCATCCTGGCTCTGTCATTGGGGAAGCTAGCAAGTCTTTTCTCGAGGAAAACAGATCGTTACGCTTGTCACCTCGGAAGACAGTGGCGACGGTAAGGGGAGGAATTATATTTCCTCACCTTCACTGACAGCCGGCAGGGGCCGGGCAGGTTGCGCGCTGAGAACGGTCGGAGGAAGCAGGAGAGTGGCTGGGGCCTGGGGCCACCGAGAACTAAATGCCTGACCTGCCTTATTCAGCCGCACGTCTGCAGGACGGATCGCGGGAGGCAGGCGGACAGAGCCAAGGGGCTGGGCTCTCCGCCCGCCCGCGCCCACGAAAGCTCGGCTCGCGTGCCCGTGCCCCGCAATCCTCCCGAGACCCGGGTCCTCCCTGCCGTATCCCGCAGAACATCCGACGCTCACCTCGCCCAAGCCTCGGGCCTTCTGGGGGCCGTGCCTCCGTCAGCTACACTCCGCAGGCGGAGGCTCCGGAACTGCCTGAGCCGGGCAGCAGCCTCGGGTCGGGGTTCCTCCTGGGTCAGGCCTGGGAGCCACTCAATCTGGCGACAAACGTCCAGCGCTCCCTGTAGGTCCCATAGGGCCGGGCAGGGGGCGGGGCAGGGGCGGCCGCTAATACCTTTGCGAAATGTAGTCCACGCGAGGACCCAAGGATTCTGGGAAGTGTAGTTCTCCGCTCTGGTCAACGAGCCGCGGGGCACTAGCGAGCCTGTCACGTGCCGAGAACCCAAGTCTGGGCTCGGCGTCCCACTGTGTGAGCTACAGGGCCCTGGTTTCCTGGTTCCTCCGGATGTAAAGGGAGTTTCGTTGAGGGCGTTATCTTATAGCTCTGCATCTGTATAAATGATAAGGCAGGTAGACACCTGCCAAGAATGAACCTAATCGTCGGAAGTATCTAGTGCCCGCTATGTGCCAAGCGCTGTTGTAAAAGGTTGGAAATATGTCCGTGAACAAGACAAAGATCGGAACTTTTCTTTTTGGAGGGTGGGGTAGAGAGCAGACAATAAGTCATGGACTTAGTTATATAGCATTTTAGAAGATAAGCGTTATCGGAAAAAGCGAAAGGAGAGCAGGGTCATAAGTATCTAGGGTCAATGTGCAGTTAGGTTGCAGCACAGCGTAGGGTCATGGATACCACCCTGTATTATTATAGCTGGAAAGTAAATCTTAATAAGATAGAATCAGTATCCTTCTATCAGTTCTGTTCAGATATCCTGGCTATAATTAACTAACATGAATAGTCATCAGGCCAACTTATAAGTAAATATGTAGAGACTGATCAGATTCATTGAATCTATAAATCAATTGGGGAAGATTAACATCTTCACAATATTGATCCTAACACTCCATTACCATCGTATATCTCACCATTTATTTAGGTCTCATAAGTCTTTATATATTTTTTCCACAGCAGTATTGCATATTTTTTTTGTGTTTTATTTGTAAATGTTGTGTATTTTTTAAGCTATTGTAAATAGTATCTCTTTTTAAATTTCGTTTATAAAGTACTGGTTCTGTATACAGCTTATTGCCTAAAATTTCTTATAAATTCCAATCATGAATTTGTTGTTTTGGGTTTTTATGTAATGCCACATAATGTGTGAATGACAGTTTTACTTCCTTTATATATATTTCCTTTCCCGTAATTGCCATATTGAGTGGTCTGTGATTTCTAGTCAAAGTAGATGTCAGCAAAATGACAGAGTAAAAAGTTTCAAGCCCTCAATCCCCTTGGCAACATCAAAAAACAACTGGCAAATAGCTAAAATAACCATGGAAAAGTTCTGGAAAACACTAAAAGACTTATAGCAACCACTCAAAGTAAAATCCATGTTTGAAATTGTGGGAAAATTTGAGGCATTTTTCACTTGCCCTAGCCTCGCTCCTTCTCCAGAGCAGGTCTTGGTCTGGGGAGGAGGCAGGTGAATTCCCAATTTTCTCTCTCCAACAGGGAAGGAACAAAGCAGCCTTAATATGTAAAATTCTAGCCTGTCTGGGCCTGCCAGAAATATCGGACTTTGTCTTACTGATGCTGGAGACCTCAACCAGGATAGATGTCCAAAAGAGAACTCAACCCAGAGCTCTGGTAACCAGGTTTTGGCCTTATATCAGAAGAAAGAATTCACAGACAAGACAAACATCAAGCAGGAAAGCACAAGTTTTATGGAGATGAAAGTACATACCTAAGACGGAAGTGTGGGCAAACTCAAAGATCTAGTAGTGCAGAGGCTGTCTGGATTATGGGCTTTTGTTCTTCTGAGTAGGGGGAGAGGCTGGGCCCACAGACATGGTACCTGTCCCCTCCCAGCAGGCAGGGAACTCAATTTCCTGCAGTTTCTTCCATATATGGTGTTTCCGGAACTGTCATGGCATCAGGTGCATGATGGGAGCCATGGTAACTGCAATTCTAATGAGAATATAATGATACTATAATTAGCCAAAGGTCAGGTCTTGGTCAAAGATGGCAGCAGGACTGGAAAGAACTGGTTTTGGTTTGTCTCGCCTTTCAGGGACTAAAAAAGGCCTGGAGCCACATTTTGGAGGGGGAGGACACATCCCTAGGCTACCCATCCCATCTCATTGCCTAACTGGGATCTCAGGTAGGGAGAAGCACTGCTGATGAAAGTGGTAGGTAGATTACAGTCCCACAGGTACCTGGGGCAAGAAATTAAGGTACGAAACATGAGATAGACTATCTAAGGCCCTGAGGAAGGGCTAGAGTGAGATTCTTTGGGAAACCAAGACATTTAAAAGCAGCTGAAAAAGCAACATAAGGTCTGACCAAGATGTATGTTCAGAAAAGATCTAAGATCTTAGGGTTTTAGCTTCATTTGATCCCTAGGCTGAGAGCAAGCCAGGTAATGAATGAGTAAAGCACTGCTGTAGCACAGAACCAGTCTACGAAGACTGGGAGAGGTGACTAGTTTTATATTTTGTTTCTAAAAAAGACTTTATTTTCTTATAGCAGTTCTAGGCTTACAGTAAAATCAAGAGGAGGATACAGGGCCTTCCCACACATGAGTACCTCATTTTATTGTGGTTCATTTTATTGTGCTTTGCAGATACTGCTTTTTTTTTTTTTTTTTTTACAAATTGAAGGTTTGTGTCAACCCTGCATTGAGTAAGTCTGTAGGTGCCATTTGTCCAATAGCATTTGCACACTTCATGTCTCTGTGTCACATTTTGGTAATTCTCACAATATTTTAAACTTTATCATTATTACATTTGTTATGGTGATCTGTGATTGGTGATTTTTGATGCTACTATTGTAAGTGTTTTGGGGTGCCATGGACTGCGCCTGTATGAGACTGCAAACTTAATTGATAAATGTTTGTGTTCTGACTGCTGCCATTAAACAGTCATCCCCTATCTCTCTCCCTCTCCTCGGCCTCCCTGAAGAACTTATAAGTTCCCTGATGAGACACAACAATATTAAAATTAGGCCAGTTACTAACCCTAAAATGGCCTCTAAATGTTCAAATGAAAGGAAAAGTCACACATCTTTCGCTTCAAATCAAAAGCTAGAAATGACTAACCTTAGTGAGGAAGGCATGTCAAAAGTTGACATAGGCCAAACTCTAGGCCTCTTGCACCAAACAGTTAGCCAAGTTGTGAATGCAAAGGAAAAGTACTTGAAGGAAATTAAAAGTGCTACCTTCTACAGCGAATATGGAGAAAGTTTTAGTGGTCTGGAAAGAAGATCAAACCAACTACAACATTCTCTTAAACCAAAGCCTAATCCAGAGGAAGGCCATATTCTTTCTCTTCAATGCTGTGAAGGCTGAGAGATGAGGAAGCTGCAGAAGAGAAGTTTGAAGCTGACAGAAGTTGGTCATGAGGTTTAAGGAGAGAAGCCATTCTGTAACATAAAAGTGCAAGGTGATGCGGCAAGTGCTGATGGAGAAGTTGCAACAAGTCATCCAGAGTCTAGCTAAGATAATTAAGAGGTGGCTACACTAAAGAACAGATTTTCAATGTAGATGAAACAATTATATTGGAAGAAGATATCATCTAGAACTTTCATAGCTAGAAAGGAGGTC